GAAACAGAGCCACTTACAGAAGGCTTTACCCAAGTCGCCCCATCCCTACCCATAGGGCAGAGCCCCTTTGCCCCATCGCTCCCGTTCCCTGGACGCAGTGGATGGGAGCAGGGAAAGCGCAGCCAGCTCAGGCAGACCTACTTTCAAGGCTTTAATCCTTTTTGCTTAAAGGATCTTTTTCTTTCTTTCTTTTTTTTTTTTCCCTCCCTCCCCTTTCTTTCTTTCTTTTTTTTTTTTTTTTCCTTTTTTTTTTTTTTTCCTTTTTCCCTTTTTTTTTCCCGCTCAGCAAAGATGCGGTCTGATCAGAGGAAGAGACGCAGGGAGCTGACAAGCTGCAGAGCACGGAGAAAAAGGAGAGAGAAATACATATTTATTACCCTCAATTATTAAAAAATAGATAGCAGCAGATCTTAGGCCCTGGCAGAGGCACTGCGGAGTCATTTGTGTGAGGACTATTTTGTTGTTTTTTTTTTTATAATCCCATTGAAATTATAATAGGGCACTCTTGTTAGCAAAACCACCCCGCAGACCCCTGCAGAGGGGCTATGGGCAGAGGCTGTGCTGCATTTAGTCCAGCATCATGGACCCAGCGCTATGGGCTGCCCTTTATCTGGAAGAGGGCTGGCTTTGGGGGTCTTCCCTTTGGGGCTATACTGTGGTCAAAAAGGGCTCTGCCCCCACTGCCAGCACAGCCCCAAGCAGTGCCGAGCATTCTTTCATGGGTGAGAGCTCATCTGGGCCACGGAAGAGCCCAAAAAGCACTGAGGGATGTGAAAGGGTTTGTACCCCTTGGCTGGTGCCGGTTGCAGGGATGCAGCGTGCACGAGCAGAGCCCCCGTACTAACGCAGCAGGAGAGATCCGCGGCTCCCAAGTGCGGCACGGGGCTGGCGGAGCTGCACTGGCACCTCCCCTCCGTTTGCAGGGCTGCCTCTGTACGGAGCTCTGCCAGCTTGCAGTCGAACCCACTGCTGCCTCTCCTCCTCGCTGGGAAACAACGGCTGAGGGACCGGGAATCGGGATCCAGGTGCCCACCAGGTATCTCTCGGCGCTGGGACCTGGGTGCACGTGGAGCATCCACCGTGCCCACACCACGATACCAAGGGGATGCCATCAACTGGAGCCCACCGAGGGGCTAAGACCCGTTGCCATCCATTCCAGCACAAACAGCTGTGTGTGCTCGGAGCCAGGAGGTCGTGGCCCTACAAACCCAACGGGAACATCGCAAAGCACCGCTTGCCAAAGCCCTCGCCTTGCCAGCAGGGAGGCGAGCAGCAGCCAGGCGGTGTGCTATTAAAGGGAAAAGGAGCTTTCTGCACCAAATGGAGCATTTTCGGCTTAATAGCCCCACAATCCTAATCTGCACAAAGAAGATTCCCCATTCTATCTGCCTTGTCCTGCATCTGCCACCAGACCAGCACGTGCCGAGCCCTTAGTGGGATGCGATGGCTCCGGAAGGGAAAGGACGGCCGCTGGGGAGGTGATGCTGGGCGCGGGCGTTCCTCCGTCAGCACCTCCATCATTTGTCATCAGTAAAAATAATATTCCTAAAAGTGGCCCCCTCTGATTGCAGGCGCGGGGCTGCGGGTTTCCATGGAGATGCCGTGAGCGGGGATGGTACGGGGGATAGGGGATGGATTTGAGAGATCGGACCCGGCGGTGACATCCGGAGCGGTGATGGCACCAAGCACACTTCTGGCACAGGGACATAGGACGACTCATTCCCTGTCCTCACCTTTGGGCCATCCAAAGAAGGACCACCCAGGGCTGTGCAGGAGGGGATGATGATGCTCGGTGCCCCCACCACCCCCCACTTGTTGCATCGATCCTAAATTAGAGCTCAGCCCCCTCCAGCGGGGGCCGGGCTGGGGGACACGTTGAGGTGGCACCTGCCATGTCCCACCCTGAGGACGTCAAACGATCGTGACAATCAGTGCCGGCGCCTCGCCAGCCTGCTGCTGCCTGCTGCTCCACCAAAGCGCTTTTAAAGACATAATCTGCAGTTAATAACCAACGTTGATACCGAACGCTGCTAAGCCCCGGGATTGCACTTTGCAAACAAAGCTCTCAGTGTCGGCCGGTTGGTGGCACCTCCTCTGGGCCGGGGGGCATCACCCGTGGGTGCTGTGTGCACACTGTGCATGGTGACACACTGGCACTGCTTCATCTCACAGCATGGGTCTGCTTCACGCTGGGGATGCTCTCCTGGAGGACACACAGTGCTCCCAGCCACTGTGTCTCCAGGGCCCTGTGCTCCCCAGCCCAGTATTGTCTTCAAATTCTGTGCTGCCAGAACCCCTTATCGGCATCCCAAGACTGCCCAGAGCCGGGGTCACCAAATCCCAGCCTCATCCCCACCCCACAAAGCTCGGGGAGACCCCTCAGCCCTGAGCACACCACAGGCTCCGACCCACACCGCTGCCTCCAGCTGCCTCGGGGAGATGTGGTGTGAAGTCACACCCCCAAAATACCCATTTTTACACCTCCTTGCCAGGTTCACCGCTGTTTCTAGGGCAGCGCTTCAAGGCCATCTGGAGCATCACCCACAGCCTCCGGGAGCAACACGAGGACACTGTGCACGGGACCACCAGGACCCCTCTGGGCTCCATCACTGCAGGTGACTGAGCAGCAATGACTCCTCCACCACCAGCTCAGTTCTCATCGCGAGCATCACGGCATCGCCCTCCTTCACCCCCCATCCCCACCGCAGGGACAGGCAGCGCCGCGTCCTGCCCGCTTCCCCCCAGCTCCGCCGGGCGCAGAGAGCTTGTGGCTTCCTCCCTGCTCTTTATGAAATTAAACTTTGATGAGCAAAAAGGTTTTCTGGGCTCTCAGCTCTTCGGCGCAGCAACCGCAGCCCAGCCTGCGCCGTGCCTGGCCTTGCAGGGCACAGCCTCCCTGTTCCCGGGCAGGGGATGGGGGAGGGGGGGGATGCGTTTTTCTCATTCCCCTCCTCACTGGGATCTCGTGGGATGGGATGCACTACAGAATGGCACCACACAGCCCTGTCCCAAGCTGCCCCTGGCCCCTTTTCTCCCAACCCTGGGGTTATTTTTCCTCTGGCCCCACAGCGCTGGGAGCTGGGAGCCCCACAGCCATGCCAAGATACGGCCAGCCGTGACCTTGGTAGCATCCTTGACCTGGAAATCTCCTCTTGCACCTCTGATGTTGCACTCCTGGTGGTTGCCACCTCTGGCAGGATGCTGTCCCTGCTGCCACCCTTGCTCAGGTTTGGCACAATGCTCCATGCTCTCACCAGTAATGTCCTGGCATCCCAAAACACCCCAAATCCCACTGGTGGTGATGCCTTGCACCATGCTCAAGGGGCAGCATCCTGTCAGGGGACATCAGAGAAACACCCAAAAAGGCAGGAGGAGGCACAGGGGGGAGGGGGGGACACCAAACACACAGATCTGCTTCCCCCAGGGACACGGGGATGGCACCTACGATCCCAAACCACATTCCCCTGCCTGGCAGCAGGATGGGACAGCAGAAGCAGCAGCATCACCACCTGCACCGCTCAAACCAACCAAATCCTCCAACACATCGAAACCCAGAGTGGCCCCAAAGAGTCCACATCTCTGGTGGCTGCTGTCCCGTTGTCCCCACGGTGTCCCCTCCCTTGGGGTCGCTGCAGGGTCCGGGACTCCCACCCAAAGCCCTCGGGCCGTGGTGAGGAGGGAAGGGAGAGGCTCCGGGCGGGACGGAGGCCCTCCCCTAACTGCCTGTTGAATTATTCAGAAACGGCATTAACTTATAAATGAGTGTGTTTGACTGATTTTGTGGTTGATGTACAGATAAATTCTAATGAAAGACAGCTACAAGATTTTAAATTATTAATTAGACTGCCACTTAACAAAGCCTATTTGGCACTCTATTTCCTTGCTTAACAAGACAAAAACTTTAAGGATAGGTTTTGTATGAGCCCAGAGGCTGTTCATTTGCATTTTGTTTTCCTAGCTTCAGAAACGGAAAAAAGCCGTAGATCCTGACCTTAAGCAGGTTGCAACCCCTGGTGGGACCAACCACATCCAGCTCCACTTTTCCAGCCCGGCTCCTGCTTTGCCTCCACCCCTCGGTGGTGAGAAATGGGGTCGGGAAGTGATGATTTCTCCGAGCGGGATGCACGGGGATTTAGGATCGAGCCCAGCCCGCTTGAGTTAATACACCGAACAAAGCCGACGCGGGAGACGGAGAGAAGAGGCTCAAAGCGCGAGGCCCCGCAGCCGCAAGGTGACATTAAACCCGCGGGGAACGGCATCACTGGAGTGATAGCAGGGCTCGGTGCCCCGGCACAGGGCTGCGTGGAGCAGTGGGCACAGCGCCCGCATCCTCCAGCACCGCGCGTTCCCGTGCCGGAGCATCGCCGGAGAGGGGGGCATGTGGTGGTCCGTGGCCTGGGCCGGTGCTGTGACCCTTCCGAGGGTTCGGGGGGGTCCCTCCGTATGGCAGTGCTGCCTCCCCCCGTCCCCGGCTCGCACCTACCCGGGCACGGCGGTACCGGAGAAGCGGACCCCTCCCGCACCCCCCCCGGAGGGTCGGCATCTCCCAGGCTGTGATGTCAAAAAGCATCCCTATGATGTCCCAGGCGGTTGCCATGGAAATAGCGTGATGTCACAGCGGAGCAAATCTCTTCGGGTCGACGGGAGGGGAGTGGAGGGGGGGTGGGGGGGGAAGAGAACAAGAAGAACGCGCCCCAACTTCCCCCACCGAACCCCGAGCGGCCGCGCGGAGCTGAAATCAGAGTCTGCCTTCCATCGGGCACCGAGCACCGTCGTCTCGGGACACGCCGTGCGTGCGTCCGCCGATCCCTCCCCGGTTCCGTTCCCCGGGGATCGCCGGTGCCCGCACCCCGGCGGCGGCTCGGGTAGCTGTTGGTTGCGGGGGGAGCGCCGGCGTCGCGGCCCCAACTTCGGCAGGAGGCAAACTTCGGAGCCGGTACCGGATCCCCCGCTTTGCCCGCTGTCCCCGGTACCCGTTGCCCTCCCGTTGCGGCGCTCACCTTGGCGGAGCATCGTGGTGCCGGTGCGGGGCGCGGTCTCCCGGCGCGGCGGTAACGGCGAAGAGCGGCGGCGGCGCTCAGAGCGGCGGCGGCGGGGAACGGTGGTGGCGGCGGTGGTGGCGGCGGCAGCGGCGGCTGCACCGGGAGCGCGGAGCCCGAACGAGCGGCCCCCGCGGGGGCATGGCGGGCAGAGCCGCAGCGGCACCGGGAGCGCCCGCCCCGCGGAGCCCCACCGGGAGCACCGGCCGCGCCTCTGCCCGCCGCGCGTCCCGCCGCCGGCTTTTAGGGGGGAGCCGCCCCCTCGGGGCTGGGGCCGCCGCCGCCCCCCACCCCCTCGGGCAGAGCCTATAAAGAAGGGGAGCCCGGGGCCGGTGCGGCGGTGCCTGCAGCGGCGGGCAGGGCTGGGCAGGGCGGGGCGGGGCAGCGACGGGGCGGGCTGGGTTGGGCTGGGCTGGGCGAGCCCGGCCGGGCCCCCCCTTCCTCCTCCTCCTCCTCCTCCTCCTCTGCCGCCGCCTCTCCCGCCTCCCGTGGACACTTCGTGAAAGTGCCGCTGCTCCGCTTCCCCGCGCCGCCTCCCGGTGCCCCCCCCCCCGCCCCATCGGGGCTCTATTGGCCTCGGGGAGCTGCTGGCACCACCCCGCATCGCTGTCACCTCCGTCCCGCCGGGCGGCACATCGCGTCCCCGCTGGCTCCGAATCACCTCCTCATCGTCCCCTCCGCCCCTATCGGAACACCGGATGTCCCAGCGTAGAGCTCTGCTTTTCCATTGCCCCACCCGCGTTTCTGCTGTCCCCGCTGCCCCTCCGCCCAGGGCCCTCGCTCCACCCGCTCCTTCCCCGCTCTTTGTCCCTCGAGTCCCCTCTGTACCTTCCGCCTCCCGCTGCCTCCATCATCCCATCGGGTTCCCAATCCCACACCGGGATCCCGATGTCCCCGCGGCGCTTTGCTGTCCGCGGAGGTCCCCTCTGTCCACTGGGGCTCTCTGCATCCCCACCGCAGATCCCGTTATCCCACGTTATCCCGCTGCCGGCCCCGCTATCCTTTGGGGGTCACCACCACCGCTCCGCTCCCCCGCGGCCCCCAGGGGTCCCCCGACTCGCAGGCACTTGCATACTAGAGGAGGGGGACCCCCACGGCGGGTGCGGCTGTCACCATGGCAACCGCACCACAGAGCTGCGAGCGGCACCCGCTCAGCACAGGGAGCTCAGCACGGGGTGCGTAGCCCAAAATCACCGCGGTCCGTCTTGGGAACGAATCCGACGGCTCAGCGCCATGCACATCCCGGCGTACAGCCCAACACCGGCGCGTTCATCGTGCCGGAGCCTCCACACGCAGTCCTGCCACCCGTCCCGCCCCATCCAGCCCGTCCCGTCGGGGCGGTGCGCACCGCTTTCCATCTCTCTCTCTTTCTCTCGGCCATCGATTGCTCTGGTCTGAGCGCCCCGCCCGCTCGGGGCTCGGCTGGCTCTGCCTGCCCGCCTCCACGTGGCCCAGCGCCATGGCGGCACCGCCGCGCTCCGGCGGCGCGGCCCTTCTGCCCTCCGCCAGCAGCGCAGGTGGGCACCGGCAGGAGAACCGAGCCTCGTGGGGGAGAAGCGGGGCGAGTACCGGGGGCCGCCGGGCGGGGGAAGGCGGCGGGGGCTGTGCCCGTCCCGGCTATGCCCGTCCCGGCTGTGCCGTGGGCTCGCTGGATGACGGCGTCGGGGGGCGATGATCGACGTGGCGGCGGTGAATAACGGAGCGCTGCCCCCCTTCTCCCCCGTCCTTCCCCCCCCCCCGGGTATGGGGGAGGACGCTGCTGAATGCCCTCTGGTGGGATGGGTGTCAACATCGGGGTTTGGGGTTGGTTTTTATGTCCCCTCTCCCCCCCCCAAAAAAAAGAAAGCATCGCCCCTGGGGGTGGTGGGGGCTGAGAGTGCCTCGGCCCCATCCCCACGGGTAGCATAAGGTCTGCGTGTGGCCCTATAGACATGACATCCTTGTGGCCCTATGGACACTGTTCCTATGGCCTTACAAATGCAGTGCTCTGAGGTATAATGGGCAGAAAAGGTGCTTTTTCCCCAAAAAACAGCATTATTGTCCCATGTTGGGTGAGGGAGGCTGCACTTCATCCCTGGGGAGGTGGCATGGGGTCTTTCTGTGGCTTCAGGGATTTGGTGTCCCCATGGGCTTAGGTCGCAGGATCCCCATGGCCCTAGGGGCACTGTGTCCCTGGAGCCCGAGAGTGCTGTGCCTCTTCTATGGGGACACAACTTACGCTTGTAGTGTCCCCATAGCCCTAGGATGTGATGTCTCCATGCCCTTAGGACACAGAGTCCCCGTGGCTGCTGGGTTAGAGTGCCCTATTTGATGTCTCCATGGCCTTAGAGCACAGTGTCCCTATGGCCCCAAGGACCTGATGCCCTATAGGCTTCCCCCCTTGACTCCCACTGTATCCCCAGATCGAGCCCCACGTCGCACTGCCCGCCAGGTCCCCGAGGAGCTGCTGAATAATGCAGAGCTGCGGGAGGCAGTGGGGGCTCTGCCTTCCAACTACAACTTTGAGATCCCCAAAACCATCTGGAGGATCCGGCAGGCGGGTGCCAAAAAGGGTGAGCAGTGGGGAGGGGACGTGGGAGGGCTGTGGCACTGAGGGATGTGGTCGGTGGGAGCAGTGGGGGTGGGCTGGGGTTGGAGCTGGGGTTCTGGGATGTCTTTTCCAACCTGAATGGTTCTATGGGGCTGCCAGTGCTGGGGTGTGTTCAGGATGGCAGCCAGGACCTTCCTGCTGTGTGCTTGGCCACTAGTGCGATTGGGTGGCAGTGGGTAAAGGCAGCCCCAGGTGGGGACAGTGGGACTAAGAGGCATCATCTCACTGTGAATAAATGCATGCCATACGTGGAGCTGTGCTGGCACCTCCAAAGTGGGAGAGCAGCAGCAAGGGGAAGGGCAACGAAGGACGATCAAAGGTTTGGAACAGCTCTGTACAATGGGAGATTAAATAGATTTAGTTCTTTTTGTTGGGAAAGAGACGAACGAAGAGGGGATATGACAGAGGGCTGTGGAATTATGAATGGTGCAGAGCTGAAAAGGCGATGATTATCCACTCTTTCTTGTAGCTGGAGAACCAGGGGCACACGTTTACATTATTAGGAGCAGGTTTAAAATAAACAGAAGAAAGTACCTCTTCCTGTGCAGCGCTTAATTAAAACCCAGAACTCATTACAGCGGGAAGTGGGAGAGACAAGGAGTGTCGGCGGGTTCAGAAAGGGATTAAATGCATTCGCACGGGGTGGGTGCGAGCGGCAGAGGGTGAGCCGCTCCTGGGAGATCCGTGCTGTGCTGCTGCTTTCTGAGGGCACAGTGCCCAATTTCAGTTGTGAGGAGGGATGAAGTGGTTCGGTGTGCTGTGGGGTGGGCCCCAGTTGGGAGCATCCCCCGTTAACCACAGCCTTTCTCTTCCCAGTGGCCCTGCAGATGCCGGAGGGGCTGCTCATGTTCGCCTGCACCATTGCAGATATCATTGAGCGGTAAGATCTGACCTGGTATTGGGGCTGGGGGGGCTCCCAACCTAATGCAGCACCATCTGCCCCTTGGGGATGGGGACAGCATGGTCACACCACGTCCCCAACGCCTGCGGTCCCCAGTGCTGTCACACATCCCTGCTGTCGGGGTGACAGTGCCCTTGGTGATGCATCCCCTGGAGCTGTGACCTCAGCGTCACCACCAGTGGGGTCACAGCATCTGTTAGCACGCTGTCACCTTCTGTGAGGAGACTCACAGGGAGGTGACAGCACCTGGGGGGGGGTCATGGCACATACCCCGGCTTTGTCACCTGTCCCATCTCTGCATAAGGGGTGGGAGGATGCAGGGGATGGGTGCAGAGTGCAGGTGGCTCTGCGTGGGTCTGTCCCTTTAAGCAGCGCTGCCTCCTCTCCCCGGCTTTGGCACCCAGCCGCTTTCATGTCTCTGACTTCAAAGGCAGTGGATTAAGGGGCTCTTTCATCTGAATGAAACCTTAAGCCCCGCTTCCCCGAGCTGCAGCAGCCCCACCAGCCTCGCCCTCACTGCCAGCAGTGGTGGCACCCTGACCGGGGGCACCCCAAGGTCTGTCCCTTGGTTGGGGGCACTGGGTGACATCTGTGTTCCAGCTGGGGACAGGTGCTGTGGTGTGGTGGGAATTGATGTGATCTGTGCAATGCCAATGGGGATAGAGTCAAGCTGCCATCAACCCCAGGGTGACATGTTCCACGTTCTGTAGCCAGGGCTGTGTCTGCTGGGCTGGGATGAGAGTGAGAATGTGCACATGGTGCTGGCCGGGGTCTTGTCTGCCCCACTGCAGGGAAACAGTGGGGCCAAGGGCAGGGGGCTGCTTGTTGGAGTCCCAAATGGTAAGGACAAGAGCAGGGTTGGGTTCCTGGTCCCTGTGCATCATGTTGGCTGGGAGCAGGGATGAAGATGTCACGGGAGCATCATCATGGAAAAGCGCCGGGCACTTAACACACAGCCTTTCAAATAGAGACACTGACAGCATTGACCGGTGTGAAGTCCTGTTAATTAGCACTGATAGGTTTGTCGTTATCGTGGAGTTGTGGAGGGGGGTGGGGGGTCCGCAGCCCCCGTTGAGGTGGGGGTCTCGCTACCGCCCGCAGGCTGCTGAGCTGGCGGGGCCGTGCGCTGCTGGAGCCGCATCACGACGCTCTCCAGGCAGCATCCAAATTGGCTCCGTTTCTGGTGGCTGATGTAATTCGGTGGAAGGGAGCTCGTGCCGGTGAGGGGGTGGCAGCGTGGGGGAAAGCCTGGACAACAGCTCGGGATCGGGGGGCAGCCCTCAGCCCACCAGCTCCATGTGTTGGGAGGGGGGGGTGTTGGGAGCAGACCCCCCCCTACCCCCCCTCCTTCCCCGTGCATGGCAGGCGGCTCAGCTGGGCTCTTGATTCCTTGTTAATAAAATCAGCTGTCAGGCTGCGCAGCTGCTAATCCCCCCTGTCTCCTGCTAATAGGGGAGGTGATGGAGTCGGGGACGTGCTGGTGGCACCGCTCTGCCCCTTCCCTGCC